GGAGAGAAAAGAGGGCAAGGGGAAAAGAAGGGAGGGGAGAAGGGTGGAGGGCAGGAAGGTCGTCAAGCACAACAAGACAACCATTTTCTTGGAGGTTGTTTTCATTTTAGAGATGTATTATATGTGCACACTGTGTAAATAAATAAAATCTTAAAAAAAAAAAAAGAATGCAACTATCACTTAAAATTTTGTTGTAATCAAATTGAATATTTTTCAAGGACCTATGTATTTGTGTGTGTATATATGTGTGTGTGTGCGCACGTGCACACTGTTTCCCTTTACAGCCATTTATTACCTTTATAATTTGTTTCCTCCTCCAGATATTTATGAGGGTGAAGACAATGGCAAACAAATCTCCCCCAAATGTGAGTAATAATAGCATACTTGGAGTACGCACAGCTGTTCTGAAACCTTCTCTTTAGTATTATTGTAATCACTATTAACAATAATAACAGGTGTTATTTATTAAATTCCTAAGATGTACCATTTTACTTTATAAGCCCTTTTGCTAATCTTTATATCAAATCTGCAATAGATATTAATATCCCCATTGTTATAGACAAGAAAACTGGTGCTCCAAGAGGCTAAGTGGCTTACCCAGGACCACACAGCTAGCGAATGCGTGACAAACTCAGAACTGTACTCAGGTCTCACTGACCCCAAAGCCTCTGCTCCTACCCTTGGACAATGGGCCTTTCATTTATTCACTCATGGGATCTGCCAGACCCTGAGCCCAAGATTCTGGGGTCTCCTGAGTGCTGTCACCCCTATAGGACCTAAGACTTAGTCCCTAAGGCCCCTAAGGGCCCACGGCCAGTGAATCCAGGAGGAAGGGATTCAATATGCAAATGACAAAGATGCAGCAGACTCAGACTGGGAGCTGCGCTTTCGTCCCCTGCACTTCCAGCTTGGACTGACGGCCGTTCTCCAAGGTTTGCTGGTTCTGCGAATTCAGAGTCTCTTCCAGGAGCCGGCGGGGGGCGGGGAGGGGGGGCGGGATACTGGGTGATTGGGTATAGTCTCTGCTGCCAAGAGCCCCAGGACCCTCGGGGGAGACATAGGAGGGCTCACCCGGGGCAGCTGCAGTTTGTGTCCCTTCAAGGGTCTTATGAGGTGATTGTGGGTGAGCCCACCACCTCCACAGCCCCTCTCCTCCTCTGTCTCCCAGATTAGAATGGGATAGAATAGAATAGAACCCAACAGAATAAAGTAGAACAGAATAAAAGACTAGAATAGTACAGATCAGGTGAGCACATCACACCCTGTAAGGGGACTATTGTTCCATAAACTTGTTTTCATTTTAGAGATGTATTATATGTGCACACTGTGTTGGGTGTAAAATGGGCATCTCTCTGTGGCTGCACCCCAAGGAATATAAACAACTTTGGTCTAGGCTAACTGGGGGCCTGGGGACCCCAGGCATCCCCCACCCTTACCTGTGGTGCCGGGAATGAAGGAGGCCATGTGTGGTGACAGTCCCTAGTAGGGAGGTGGCATTTGGGTATTGTCAGCACTAGGAAAATCATTTCTCTTCCCAGGCTCAGGCAGATCCTCCCTGAAGGCAGGGAAAGGCCCAGATGACCTCGAAATAATGCAGTCAACCTGTGGCCAAGTGTGTGAGAGGTCCTGTGTGGCAGCCCTGTGCCAGGCTGAGGGTCCCCTCCCCCTCCGGCTGGGCCCACAGGAGAGGGGCAAGCTGCCACCAGTGCCTGGTCATCATTTTATCCCAGGTGCCACTTCCCTGCGGAGAGGCCACAACTGGCTGTCAGGTCTCTCAGTTCCTGCACTGCCCCCCAGCCCTGCCGCCCCGGGGCCCTGAGTGCTCCACCGCTGCCAGAGGCCTCAGGGCCAGGCCCCACCCCTGGCCTCCCAGGAGGTGGCTCTAGGACCCCTTCCCCCCCGGGCCACTGAGGCCATGGCCCCCGGAGGAACAGCCCTTCCGTTCACACAGTGCTGTTGGGGGTGCGGGGGTGGGGAGGGGGTGGACTTTACTTCCAACATAGTGTGCACACGTAATACATCTCTAAAATGAAAACAAGTTTATGGAACAATAGTCCCCTTATAAGTATGCTGTCCTCATCTGATCTGATCTGTTCTATTCTGCTTTATTCTATTGTGGTTTTTTTTTTTAAGATTTTATTTATTTGAGAGATTAAGAGAGAGCAGAGGAGGGGGAGGGGCGAGGGAGACGCAGACTCCCCGCTGAGCAGGGAGCCTGACCTTGCAGGGCAAGGTCTCGGTTTCCTGCCTTATAGCCTCTCCGCAAGACTGCCAATCCACATCCTCACTGTCTGCTCCCCGGTGTAAGGGGGTCTGGGTTGGATGACTGCCCTAGAGACGAGTCTCTGGGTGTTACTGCGGATGTCCCCGAGTCCCATCGGGAGGGGAGCAGTGGGAGGTACCTCCCTGAGCCAGTTTCTCCTCCGCCCTCCACCCCTCACCCTACCACGTGCTGTGACTGGAAATTAAACCAGGTTTGCTGCAATCTGAGAGCACTGTGTCCAGCTGCCTCACAACTGTCCAACATCAGGAGGGGTCCCTGGAGGCCTCCAGGAAGGGGCTGCCTGGCTGCTCCCTGTTTTGCTGGCACAGCCCCCACTGATCTGCTCTGGGGAGAGCCCTCGGCTCCAGAAGGCAGCTTGGGAGGCCTCTGGGCAGCAGGTCACGGGAGTTCCCACATGTGTGATTCCTGCTCACTGCTATAACTGTGCCATCACCCCCAAATGTAGGCTCCTCTGGGATTCCTGTGTCCAGAAAGTCCTTGCCCCCCATGCCCTGCTTATGCCCTTCAAGGCCTCATCCCAACCCTGCCCTTGAATTGTCACCTGAACAGAAACTTCGTCCTGCACTCAGAGTCCTGCGGGACTGATTACTCAGCTGCAACTCAGCCACTCAGCCACCGGAACTTGGTCAAGTGATTATTCCTCTCCCGTCTCAGTTTCTCATCTGTATATTGGAGCTAAAGCTCTTACAGGGTTCTCTGAAGCGTAACTTTTGGCCAACTGACACCCCAGCAGGCACAAAGCAGGGCCCAGCGTCTGGTGGAGGTTGCTGGCATGACTGGCCAGTTAATGAATCAATTCACTGGAGAGAGAGGCAGGATGTACTTGCTCCTCTGATTTCCCATGAGGAGAGCGGTGACAGAGGCTACCAAGAGAATGGGAAATGGGCCGTAACCAGGGGAGAGAAAAGAGGGCAAGGGGAAAAGAAGGGAGGGGAGAAGGGTGGAGGGCAGGAAGGTCGTCAAGCACAACAAGACAACCATTTTCTTGGAGGACAAGGAAGAGAGCTATGAACACCATGTAGACATGTCTTCTCAGTCACAGTTACAGAATTTTGAGCTGGAAAAGGGAACGTGGAGATCACAGACCTCCACCTCCCGCCAGATGAGGCAGTACAGGTCCTGGGAGAGTATGAGTTAAAGATGGGGGAGAATGGGTTCTTGGGGACAGGCACTGTCTGGGACATCTGGCCATCCCCTATCCAGCACAGCAGGCCAAATTCTTCCCTTTCTTTCTCCAAGGCTGCTCCAGCAGAGAGTTTATCTCCATGGCAACCTTTGAGGAGCCTGAAGGTGCAGAAGAAATGGAAAAGGAGAGCAGTGCTCTGAGTGTAATTTATTTTCTTCTTACCTTTCATTTTTTTCCCTCATTCCTATTCATCAGCTTCTCCTGCCTCTTCCTCTCCCCGTTTCCTCTCTCCCCTTTCTCTCTCCCCCCTTTTCATGATTCTCACCAAAAGGACCAGGCCTAACCCAGGAAGCTGAGGTCACTGGGTCTGCAAAGTTCCTCAGACCCTCCCAGCCTAGCATGGCCCCTGTCTCCTTAGCAATGCACTGGTTTCTGGTCATAAATATGGGGCTCCTGCTGGGATCCCGAGTGACCCTGTTTGAGAGCCAGGGTGGGCCCCAACCTGCCGGCGGGAATCACCGGTTGCGCCTGGCCCGGGCTCGGGCACTCCTCGGCAATGCCAACTCTGAGGGTGCACCACTGTCCTCTCCCTTACAGCTATCCGGACTTTTCCAGTTAGACGACAGTTATGAAACATGTTCCTCCAAATCTGTCCTGCAAACGAGAGAAAGCATCCAGCGTAAGGAAGAAGGTGGCGATGAGGTCATGTGAGTGTGAAAGAGGAAAGAACAGTGAGCGAATTGGTTAGCCATTGCTCCCCTGACTCTTCTTGGAATTTCAGGACGACAAACAAAACTAACCCAGTGTGCACCGGCTTGCTCACCCCTACGGGGGAGACGATTAATCTGCGGGCAGAAGCAGTGCGGGCGAGGGAAGGATGCCAGAGGACCCTCTTCCCCAGAGAACTGACGCTGGTTCCAGACCACAGCGGCTCCCGGCTCGGCCGAGCCGCCCCAGGCCGCCTTCGTTCCGGGTACAGGCTGCGGCGGGCGCTGGGGGCCGGGCCCACCCTTAAATAGAACGCGGCCAAGGGGCCTCGGACCCTCCGAATCTGCCGCGCTGGCGCGGGGGTAAGAGCCAGGACCACCTTCCAGAGGCCTGAGGAAGGGTCCACCGCGTGCCAGCGGAGCCCACCCTCCCGATGCCGGCAGCAGCGAACCTGGAAGCTGCTCCCCACGCGCCTGCGCGAGCTCCGGGCACTGAGAGCAGACATCCGCCAACTCCCAGGCCGCTCCACACGCGCCTGCGCCTGCGCCTGCGCCTGCGCCTGCGCCGGGACTTGCAGACGCCCGCGAACCACCCCCCCCCGGGCTGCTCTACGCATGTCTGTAGAGGTTAGGGGAGCCCAGCCCTGGAGGGCTCTGCCCAAGGTTTCCCAGCGTTGGCGCTCTGACTTTGGGGGCTGGATAATTCTTTGTTGGGGAGGGGAGGGCTGTCTAGTACTTTGTAGGCTATTTGGCAGCATCCCTGGCCTCCTCCCACAAGATGCCAGTAAAATCCCTCTCCCACCCGCTCACCCAAATTATGACAATCTTTTTAAAAATGCCTTCAGACCTTGCCAAATTTTTCCTCGGGTGGGATTGGGGAGATCTGTTGAGAATCTCCTATCCGAGCCTCGGAGGAGCCGAAACTCTACAGGGGCAGCCCTGTGCTCTTCTTGAATCCCCACAAAAATGTTCCTGTGGTGTTTGTGTTACTTTGTTCCAGGATTGTATCCTTTCAGAGAGGGTTGGTTCCAAGTTAATGTCTGAGGTATTTCGTTTTAGATTTGTTTTAAAATTAGTTTGTTATCTTCAGCTATTTTTTATTTTTCGTTTTGTTAATTTTTAATTTCTATTTTTAGTTTTCTAGTTATTTAATTTTATAGCTTTAAAGTTACTTTGTTTATAAATATTTTGTTTTCAAGGTTATTTCGTTTTTGAGTTATTCATTTTGTTTCTTATTTACAGCTATTTTGTTATACATTTACAAATTAGCTTTAGAATTATTTTAAATTATCTTTACAATTATTAATATCTGAGTTATTTACTTTTATAGTTATTCTGTTTTTTAGTTATTGGAGTTTTTTGAGTTATTTATTTTTACAGTTACTTATTTGACTACTAAAAATTCACTGGAAGTTTTAAAACTATTTTAGAATTATTTTCAGGATAAAGTGTTTTTAGTTATTTTAGAGTTTTTTCCCCTTGTTAATTTTAGAGTTACTTATAGTCACAGTTACTTATTTTTAGTTATTTTAGATTTGGGCTTGTTTATATTCATTTATTATCTTTTACTTTTTTGGTTTTAAGTTATTTTATTTTCAATTGTTGCATTTTTGAGCATTATATTTCCTGAATTTTTTATTTTCAGAGTTTTTGAGAGATTTAGTTTTGAGTTATTTTCAGTTATTCTCAATTATTACTTTTCATTTACATCTTTGCCACTTAAAATTTTTTTGTTCTGTATTTTTACTTATTTCATTTTCAGATTTATTTTCAGAATTATTTAGTATTAGAATTACTTAGTCTAGGGGATCCAAACAAGAGAGAGACATGACATCAGTAATTTTAATGGAGAGAATTTAGTATAAAGAATTGTTATGCAGCTATTGGAGATTTTAAGAGGAAAAAAAGTGATAAGGTGATATCATGGAGACGGTAACTGCAAGA